TTACCTAGCAGTAACTAGGAACCTGGTTATTAGTCGATTGGCAGATCACTTTTCAAAGGTAATAATCCTTTCAAAAAAATAATACTAATAAGTTGGGACACACCTGTGTGCAATTGACTGCCACATTTCGCCCACAAAATGCAGTCAATTCACTTTACGGTAAATTCTGTGAAGCGCTTTGAGACCTCTCAACGATGTGATAAAGCTCTATATCAAATCCAAGGATTATGATTAGTACTAGTGGGAGGTAGAATCTGCATTATTCCCATGAAAAATCCATAAACATTTTGAATCATATCATAAATCTTATTAACAGAACGAAAGGTGAATGCAAACCAATTCAAAAGTCATCTGATGTTTAACCTTTGCTATTCTCAGCAGGGGTGTCTAATGAAACAAAGAAGGGCATAGACAGGTTAGTATAATAATAATTATTGTAATCCTTGCACTTGATATAATGCCCTAACACGTCATTGAAAGATTTCAAAGCGCTTCAAGAATATATTGCAAAGTGGATTAACTGTGTAGTTATGAGCGAAACATAGCAGCCAATTATGCACTGCAGTGTCCCACAAACAATTGTGGATTGAGTGACCACATTTTGCTTTAATTCTCCTATTGAGGTTCTGTCATCCCTGCCACTCTGCACAAACAATATTCTCAAAGGGCTCTGTGGGCCTGGTATGCAAGAGGACACAAGCCGCAGAGTTTGGGTAGTCTGCAGCTTGTGGTGGGAAATGTTAGGAAGCCCAGTAAGTAGAGAATTGGCGTAGTCTAGTCTGGTCGTGGTGAAAGCATGGATAAGGGTCTCGGTGGCCCGGGTGACAGAGGCAGCAATGTTGCAAAGGTCAGAGTATGGATGTGGAGTTTAAAGGACAGCTGAGAGTTGAACAGACCCAAAGGTTCTGAACAGGATCCATGAGATGGAATGTGGATTGAGGCTGTGAGCCACTGCACCCCAAACTCTGAAACACTTTTCCTCTAGCCCTCCACCTTACTTCTTCATTTTCAGGTCGTGCTTGAAGACCTGCCTATTGACCGTACCTAATTGGTCACCTCCCCTTCTCCCCGGCTCGGTCGTGCTCCGCCACTGTCAAGCGCTCTGGAACGATACACTGCATGAGGGGTGCTATATAAATGCAAGTTACTTTTATTGCTGTCAGTGCCTGAGGAGAGAAGGTGCTTATGGGAGTCAAGCAGGAAAGCCTCTGTCTTATCAACATTCAACTGGAGAAGTTAGCGCTCATTCAAGGCGACTGATTGGCAATCGGTCAGAACAGTAGTGGTCCTGGAATCGAGGGTGGAGGTGGAGAGATAGAGTTAGTTGTCATCCATGTGGAAGTTAATCCTATGCCTGCGGGTGACATCGGCGAGCAGGAGCATGTAGATATTCAAGAGGAGAGGACTTAGGATAGAGCCCTGAGGAAAGCTGAACATGACAGTGTGGGAGCAGGAGGAGAAGCTGTTGGTAGATACAAAGTGGAGATGTTGGAATAGGGAAGAATGAAACTAGACAAGGACAGAACCATAAAGATGAAGCTGTGAAGAAAAGAGGGAGAGGGTGGAGAAGGACAGAACAGTCGAAGGCAACAGTGTTGAAGGCAACAGAGAGGTCAAGAAAGATGAGGATTCAGAGAAAGCCCTAGTCATAGATGGAGAGAATAGTGACTTAGACCATGTTAGTCTTGGTTTAATATATTGTATGAAGAACAGCATCTACAAGGTAATGGAAAATGTTCAGTGTAGATTCCCTAGAATACTGCCAAGAATGAATGGTTTATTAGAGCTTTTGTTTTACTGCTGATGAGAAGGATGAGGGGTGAACTGATGATAGACCTTCAAGATTGTGAAGGGATATAACAACAACAAGATTACATTTGTACAGTGTACAGCATTTCAGACCTGAGCTGGGATCAGGGGGGAGAAGGGAGGGGAAGGGGGGGGGTGACCAATGGCCTGGTTGAAGGAGAAATTTGAGGCGGGACTTGAAGGAGGCTAAGGAGGGGGCGAGGCCGAGTGATTGGCGGGTGGAATTCCAGAGGTTGGGGGCAGAGTGGTTGAAGGCTCTCCCGCCAATGGTGGGGCGAGTGGGTCGGGGGACGTGGAGCAGGCCGGAGCCGGCTGAGCCGAGGGAGCGGGCAGGTTGTTAGGGGGATTAGGAGGTCACAGAGGTAGGGTGGGGCGAGGCCATTGAGGGCTTTGTGGGTGAGGACCAGGATTTTGAACTGGATCCTCTGAAGGATAGGGAGCCAATGGAGTCGGGCGAGAATGGGGGAGATGGGGTCACGGAGTTTGGTGCGGGAGAGGACACGGGCTGCAGTGTTCTGGATTATCTGCAGTCTGTGGAGGGAGGAGTTGGGAAGGCTGACAAGCAGGGCGTTTGCATGGTCGAGCCTGGAGATGACGAAGGCATGAACAACAGAATAATTAGTAATAGAATATTGCCACTGGTTGGTGAATCAGTCACAATAATGCACAAATTTAAGATAATCACAAAATCACCTACAAATACACAGTCACTACATTTTACAAGGGAAGCACTTTGAGATGTTTTGACAATGTTTGTGAGACACTGTTATGTACAGGATACAGTTACAATTTACAGTATATCCTGTGATGTGCTTTCAAACAACACCCTGATGTGAAAGGCACTCTGCCAAATATCTGGATGATTATTATTATCATTTCAGAATTGTTTTTATAAAATTAATCAAAGGGGAAGAGGGAAAAGATTTCTTTATGCAACGGGTGGTGAGAATATGAAATTCGCTGTCACAAACTGCAGTTGAAGCAAGAGTCAATACATTATTTTAAAAGGGAATTGGGTACTGTAAATGTTTGAAGAGAAGGATATGCGATGCAAGCAAGAGCATGGGATTAAAGTGGCTCATGTAGAGAAAAATAGCAATGTGGATTTGATGAGCCAAACTGCCTGTTTCTGTGCTGAATAATTCTATGAGACAGCACTTTCCCAGTCTTGAACCTTCAACCTTCTGACCCAGAGGCAAAAGTACTACCAATTGAGCCAAACTGAATCCTCACATGTTTATCTTTCCTAGATTTGTTTACCTGTGTCAATTTTATGATGCAAGGGAGATAAATGTGAAACAATTTCAGTGACATTCCTCCTCCCATTCCCTATTATTTTCCCAAATAATTGAATTTTACACATGAATAAAAGAGAATTGAAAGCTCTCCTAAATTTTCCCCCAGGTATGTCCTTTCGTCCATATAAATAGAGAAAGCAGCTGTTGTGTGACTACAGCTTCTGTTTACAGTGCATTTTAAACATAAATTTATGAAATTCCCCAGTTAAATTTGAGAGCAGAGGTAAATCCAGGTGCATTTATAAAGTGTGGAGTCTGTATTTATTTTGGTGAAGAAAGTTAGTGATGAGAATAGAATGCTTTCATTGCTCTTTGTACCCAGCGTTAGCATCAATACCTCCAGTCAGAAACAGTGTAAAGCTTTCTGTAAAGGTTAACTCTTTAGAAGAACCCTCCCCAGCCCCCCAAAGACATCACTGGGATCCAGTTACAGAATTTCTTAAAAGGGTTTCATTTGATAACCAGAAGAATGCTTTGACAACCGTGAGGAACTCCAATCCAGGTCGGAAGCAGAGTTGTCGCGGGTCAATAGGAATTCCAATAGGAAGGTTGTGGGTTCCCCTCCTCCATCTCTGTTGAGACTTGAGCTCATGGACTAAGCTTCCAATTCACTAAAGAAATGCTGCAGATCAGATCCCAATCTATTTCCTTTTCCAACATAAGCCATTCTGACTGTGTTGGCTCACACAGGAGAAATGATCATTTGGTGAATATTAATTATTGTATTAATAACAACAGTAATAAATATTATTATAATAATCCTTGCATTTGATACAGCACCTTATCGCATCATTGAGATGTGTCAAAGCACTTCACAGGATATACTGTAAAGTGAATTGACTGTATGTTTTGCGGATGAAATGCAGCAGCAATTGCGCACAGCAGTGTCCCTCAAACAGTCGTGGATTGAGTCACTAAACTATATATTTTTTGAAGGGATTATACCCTGGAAATCGATCCACCAATCCACTAACAACCGCCCAGGAATCGAACCCGGGTCCTCTCACTTGCGAAGTGAGTGCTCTAACCAATACACTACAGGACTCCACTGTGGAGTATTATTGTCTTTGCATTTGGCATCTCACCTTTTACATCGGGAGGATATCTCAAAGTGCTTCACAGGATTTACTGTGAAGTATAGGAAGAATGTATTTGTGAGCGAATGTGGCAGCTCTAATTTGTGCACAGCGATGTCCCACAAACAGCCGCAAAAGTGATTAACCAGTTTTATCTGAGGGATTGTTGGCCAGGGCACCGTGAGAAATGCCCTTCTCTTTTATAGTGCCACAGGATCTTTAACATCCACTTGAACAGGCAGACGAGACCTTGGTTTAACATCTTTGAAGGTCTGATCAAAATGCAGCTTGTGCCCAAGTGGTCAATACCACTTCCAGCAGGGGAGAGCAAAGATGCGAGGAAGCAACAGTGTGATAGTTAACATTCACACATTGGATTGTGTAAAAGATAAACAACCATAACACAGGTCATAATTCATTTAGTTAAAAATCTAGAGTACCATTTTCAAAAAAAATATTCAAGCAAAACTAAGCCAAAAGGAAACTTCACTTGTATGCATATTCCCTTGCATAATATGCTTGTTTACATTGCCAGAAAAATTCTATTTCCCCCAAAATTTTGAAACATAACTTTTCCATCTATAGCAGAATCACAACCATTGTAATAAAAGATAACAGATAGTACACACACACACAGCTCCAGGCACAGAGAGAACCATTGTTTCTACCTTGCTGTAATTACAGAGCAATTGGTGATGTAAGCTTGCAATTTGTATTAGGCACTAAATTATACTGCTAGAAAGTGATTACAGATGAAAAGAGATAGTTAATTCCAAAGAGGCTGGAAATTCTTCATGTCTCCAGTCCCATTACTCACCTTAATGGGTTTTCCATCAGGTGTCAGTACCTCCTCTGAGAGTTCCATCATTTTCAGTGCCATCAGGGCTATGAGCTTAGCATGGTTGCTGCTCTTTTTATGTAACCCTCCAGCCACACAATATGCATCGCCTATTGTTTCTACCTGCAGAAATTCAGATAAGAAATTACAAAGATATTTAATTTTAAGCACCTGGGAAACAGTTTTGCATTGTACAGTTATCATCCATCAGACCCCACTTTACATATACCCGAGGCAGGCAAGGCAATGCAAACAACAGCTATAGCATGTAAACTGCAAGCCAAGACGTTTGACAAATAACCACCTGTAAAATTGTTATTCTGAATAAGGCCACGACATAAGAACATTGTGCATCAAATACGATTATTTATTTTCCAAATTATCATCCCACATTTAGATCATCATTGATGTTTAGGTTCCATTAGGTGATTCAAATGGATGTAAAGGGACCTACCAACACTATTTTAAAGAAATGTGAAATCTTTCTTCTAGTTAACATGGCTTCTGTTCTCTTTCCCATCCAAATTTACTTGCAAATTTTCTTCAACAACAACAACAAAATTACATTTATAGAGCGCCTTTCATGTCGGGAGGACGTCCCAAAGCGCTGAACAGTCAGGTGTCGGGGCACGAGCATGGGGGAGGGGTGGGGTAGGGGTGAGGGAAGGCAGAGAGGTGGGAGGGAGACCAAAGGCACGGTCGAAGAGAAGGGTCTTGAGACCGGCCTTGAAGGATACGAGGGAAAAAGCGAGGCATAGGGACTGTGGGATGGAGTTCCAGAGTGTGTGGGGGGGGGGGGGCGTGCTGAACTCCCCTCTCCTTCCTCCCTAGTTGGGCATCTGTTTCCGCCACTGTTAAGTGCTCCGAGACACTGCCCCGAGTGAAGGACGCTATATAAATGTAAGTTGTTGTTGTTGTTGGATGCCTTATCTCATTGTGTGAAGGAAATTGCTGCTACAGGTTAGCTGCTGTGTTTGCCTACATAGCATTCACTTTAATTTCTTATCAAATATATTTTGTAAAGCTCCTTCGGACATTTCACGTGAAAGGTTCTGTATGAAGGCAAGTTACACTTATGTTAATGAAACTTAAACATTAAAGTTACATCACAACAACATTTAAAGGCTCTGTTGAAATAATAATAAATATGTTTTGGACATGTCACAGTAGAATAGAAAGAATGAAACCCAGCCAAGTCCCAGTAAGAAGGGTGATTGAAAGCATTGTAGAATCTGTCAACTGTATCTTTATTCATTTACTGTTCTAAAGATGGTGATTTGATACTGGAGTGCAGTTAAGCCAGTAGCTCTACCTCAGTACATCACACCCCAGTGGTTACTTTGTGTAGATTGATAACATCATTCATGTGTGAGATGAGACAGGGTGTCCGGAGGGATATCAGAGCTAACCCCAATCCTCAGCGTGCCTACACTTCTCATTGGCGGTCAGTTTATTGCTTTATTCTCATAATAAATATTAATAAAACTTCAGATATTTTTATCCACTATATTATTGCTTACGACTATTTTTTTTCTTTAAACAGCCTTGCATTTTTGCTGTACCCAAATGCAGTCAGTGGTCCCTATATTAACATAGCAAAGGAAGTCCTTGTGCACCTCCTGATTACCTTGTATATGTCCAGGATTCCGCACTGGTAGTCAAACCTGGTGTAGAGTTCATTCAGCATGCTGATCACTTGCATTGGGGTGCACTGAGCACAAATGGCCGTGAAGCCAACAATGTCGGAGAAAAGCATAGTAACGTCATCAAACTTCTTCGCCTGCACTGGTTCCCCCTGCCACAATTCCTGGGCAACATTACCCGGGAAGATTGAATACAGTAAGTCCACAGTCTTCTTCTTCTCCTCCTCCAAGCCTGATGTGTATTTTCAAGGGTCGCTTTCAGCTTGTCCATGCATTTCTTTAGACCGTCCTGGGCCTTAGCCTGCTCGCCCACTAAAATAACATCACGCGTAGCATCATGGATGGGTATATCCGAGAGATAGAGACCTCGTCCCAGTAACTCCTCCAGTTTGTCCACACACGGGGAGCCCAGGAAAAGAATAGAGTTTGACTCAGGTACATGAATCATTTGCCCCTTGATCTCCATCACCTAGAAACAAAGGAATAAGATTTTAATAAATGACGATATCCTGAAAGTATTGACTCCCACATGTTCTACAATCACAAATCAATTAAAACAACAGTAGGACACAAATAAGGAGATTTTACCAAAGACAGAGGCCACTCGGCCCATTGTGTCACAGACACACCAGCTCTACAGTGGAAGTCTACAGTGTACATTCAAACGTTAGGCAAGTTTCCTTACTCCACACACCTCTGTTTACCTAGCAGTAAGTAGGAACCCGGTTGTTAGCCGTTTGGTGGATTAGTTTACTGGGGATAATAATCCCTTCAAAAAAAATGTTATTATTATTATTATTCTGTTGGTCACTTCAAACCACAACTGTTTGTGGGACACTGTGCACAATTGCCTGCCACGTTTCAAAATATACAGTCAGGTCACTTCAGTATATTCTTGAAGCACTTTGAGACATCTCAAAGACATGATAAGGTGCTATATCAAATGCAAAGATTATTATTATTGATTCCATCACCTAGGTCTTTCCCAATATATTTTTAATCTCCAAAGTGACTATCAAATTCTCTTTTAAATTTCGTAAAAAGCAAAATAAAAAAGGCGTCCAAAATGTAGCATTCACGAACCAGGTGACTCCACACTAATTGGAATTTTCAGTTTGTGCCTGAAATTGCCTAATTTACCAATAATCTTAAAAAAGACTAAGAATGATAGGACTGACAAAGGCCATTTTATGTTTTGATGTTTTCAGTCCAAGAAACAGTCCAAAAGCAAAAGATCAGAGATTAAAATCAGAAAAACAGAAATCACAATTTTGGTGCTCTAGTCAGGGATATTCAACTGGAAATACATTAAAGCATATTGCCAGGATGTTTTTGTAGAGACTTTGAATCATTTTGGACCCAGGAGTATTTAATCATTTCCCTAGTCACAAAATTGAACAAAAATTCATATTCCAGCAAGCCTTTTCTCATATAAACAACCTCATATGCACAAAATCATTACTTGAACAAACAATCTTTTGACACCTGCATGACATATTCAGAACAAATAAATCCAAATATTGAGTTTGCTTGCTTCAAAGGCATATCTATATAATTCCAAATAGCTATTTTTGCAGCACCAGTGTCAAGCATTTAAATTACTTTTTAAAAAGGAACAAAAAAATCGTACTTTTGATTATTTTAATCCTAACCAGATTTAATAAAAGTGCCCGATTCTTTAATCTTAGATCAAAAACTACAACAATGACATTTGAAGGAATTTCACAGCCATCAAAGCAACATTGAATGTTTCTCTCAGATCAGCTCAGACACCCTTCATCATGGAAACGTAATGTTTTACATAACATTTTACATCTGTGACTAATGTACTGCTAATTGTCATTATCATTTTAGAGTTCAGTGATATACTCTAATACCTCTGTACTGCTGCCGAAGGCTCCAGCTATCTACCCATTTACCTGTTGACCTAATACATACAATCACTTCACTTTACAGTAAATTCTGTGAAGTGCTTGGAAACATCTTGATGACGTAAACAGCTACATAAAATGTAAGGATTATTATTATCAGGACAACCAAATTCCCCTCCTGTGATTTACCCTGTAGATCAATACCATTTAGTTAATATTACCATGAGCCAACCCTACACCCAATCTAACCAGTTCCCTCTATATTTGGTAAGCCTGCTCCCTGTTATTTGTATCTCCTCCCAGTTTAATATCAGCACAAGGTGCCTCAGCTGTTAAGAGCTCATGGGACGCCTAACCAAATGAATGTGCTTAAAAATCACAGGCAGTGATCCTGAACTCTTACAGAGCATTGGTCTGGCCTCACTGGAGTACTTTTATATGTTTCATTATTGCCACTACATTACAGTAGATATTGGAAAGGGCACAACAAGGGCTGCAAAATAGCTGGAATTATGTACCTATGATCTGCGGAGAGGCTATAAAGCCTGGGAATGTCCATTACTGAAAAAGAGAAGCTTCTAGGGAAATCTGGATTAAAGTGCTGGAGATCCAAAGAGTACAGATACATTTGATACTAAGAGTATGTTTAACATTGTCACCAACTCTAAAACAACAAAAACAAGTTGCACTTATATAGCACCCACCACGCAGGGTAGCAACTCGGAGCGCTTCACAGTGGCCGAGCCTGACTCGAGCTGGGGGTGGGTGGAAGTGGCCGTAAGCACAGTCGAAAAGGAAGGTTCTCAGGCAGGTCTTGAAAAAGGGGAGAGGGGGGTCAAGGCGGAGGGATTGATGGAGAGTGGTCCACAGTTTTGGGGCATTGTGGCTGAAAGCTCCAGGCACTTTCAGCTGCTACACCCCAAAATGTGGAACGTAAGAGGTGATGACTTGAGCTCAGAAGAGGAAGATGAATGGACAGCTGAGAATCAATTTGTTTGCACAGAGTGGTCTACCCAGGGAGATGGTGGAGGCAGTTGCTCTCAGAAAATTCAAAGTGAAATTAAGTATTCGCTGAAGAAATTGATTGAGACGTATGAGAGATACTAGCGTATGATTTTATGGGGGAATTGGCCCGATGGACATCAATGGACTTTTCTAGACCTGCACATTTCTATCACGTATTAATAATATCCAGGCTCGACTATGCAAACTCCCTGCTTGTCGGCCTCCCCAACTCCTCGCTTCATAGGCTACAGATCATCCAGAATTCTGCAACCCACATCCTCTCCCGTATTAGGCTCAGCGACCCTATCACCCCCATCCTCGCCCGACTCCACTGGCTTCCCATCACACGAAGGATACAGTTCAAGATCCTGCTCCTCACCTTCAAAGCCCTCCATGGACTTGCTCCCCCCTACCTCTGCAACCTCCCAAACCCCTACCAACCTGCTCGCTCCCTCCACTCAGAGGGCTCCGGCCTACTTCATGTCCCCCACCTCACTTGCCCCGCCATTGGCAGGTGGGCCTTCTGCCACTCTGTACCCACTCTCTGGTACTTCATCCCGCCGTTCCTCCGACTTGCCCACTCCTTTGCCTCCTTCAAGACCCATCTCAAGATCCTTCTCTTCGACCATGCCTTCGAGCACCCTCCTTCCCCCCTACCCTCCACTCTCCCTGATCCCGACCCCCAGCTCGGGTCCAAAAGACTGATTGTCCTGTGCTTTGGGACGTCCTCCCAATGTGAAAGGCGCTGTACAATGTCATTTTGTTGTTGTTGTTGTTGTTCCTACCAAATTCAACATCAACAACAACTTACATTTATGAAGCTCCCCTCAGGCAGAGCAGGGTCCTAGAGTATTGATAGAGGCGAAGCACGATGCCAAGCCTGGGAGACGGGGGAGGAGACTGTAAGCACGGTCGAAGTGGAAGGTCTTCAGGCATGACCTGAAGATGGAGAAGGAGGAGGTAAGATAGAGGGATTGAGGGAGTGTCGTTCCAGATTGATGGGGGTACGGAGCTTAGTACGGATGAGTATGCAGGCGGGGAGTTTTAGATTAACTGAATTCTATAAAATAATGATAAAGAGAAAGTACAGAAGTATTAAATGCAAAAATTAGAATAGAAGAACCAAAGAACATGACTGTAAGTGAAGAAATGTAAAAATTAAAATCAAGTTAAGCAATCGTTTCCTCACACTAGAGTAACTTACATGAAAATGGGCCTATTACCTAATAAACTAAACATTGCCTGAAGGGAAGCATTTAAAATGGAATTGGATCAACTGCTGATTTAGCAAAGAGTGGATAGCTATGAAAAAGATGAATAATGGCCAGAAAAGATTCCTCAAAATCCGTCTAACTTTAGCCTATAAAATCATGACGTCTTGAAATTTAAAATCACACAGAATTGTGGAGAAGTCTTAAATTCAGTTTTAATTTGGTAGCCAGTTTTCCACAGTTCTGTGTGAAAAATTATGTGTATTTTAAGGCAAAATTGACTTTCAGGCTAAAGACCAGAGAGATTTCACAGTTTAATTGTAAAACATGATCTGGATGACTGAACAAGCTTCTTAGATTCATTGGTCTTTGGTTATTATTCATTTATCCTTCAGATTTAATATTATACTAAAACATAGTTTAATTATGCAACTCAACTGCATGATTGAGTGTGAAAGCGGCACATTAAGCAGTGGTAATCTCCCACTTTACTCTACAGAGCAGATAAATTGGCCTACCACTACCTTTAGCAAGCTTGACAGACTCCATCTCAGAAACCTACAAGAGATCACGCTGACTTTGTGGAAAGGCAGGAAAACCAACACTGACATTCTTGTCTGTGCAGGTCTGCAAGGAATTTAATCTATTTTCATCAGTCACAATTCTGGCAGCCCACGTTGCATTTTTCACCCGTGGAAATATCATATTTTATTATATTTTATTATTGTGATCCAAACCTTTCCAAACACTTTTACCAATCTTAACAGCATAAGAAAACATGGAACAAGAGAAGATCATATCAGTCCTGTGCAAACCTGCACCCTCCAAGGACCTTTTATAGTGGTCTATCAAAAAAACAATAATAAATTGATCATTTCAATCCACGACTGTTTGTGGGACGCTGCTGTGCAAAATTGGCTGGCGCATTTCGCCCACAAATATACAATCAATTCACTTTACAGTCTATTCTGTGAAGTGCTTTGAGACGTCTCAAAGACGTGAAAAGCGCTATATCAAATGCAAGGATTATTATTATTACCACTGACTCCAGCCAACTCATTTCATATCCTCAGATTTATCCAAGAATACTTCTATCCCCCAAGGATAATTCAAGCAAACTCCAAGGATCTATCTAATTTACATCCGACATTATTTATGATTGACTGGTTGCCTTGCTAAACTTGATATTTCCAGGCTACCAGCCGCCGAGGAAACATTTAGTTCCACACAGTATTCATTCATTTCTCTCTGTACTTTTCCTGAAAACCATCAATCTCATTTCTAAACCGATATCGATCCAACTATTTTCTAAAGGGATGAGTCAACACAGCAATGTACTTGCCACAATGGTTTGCTCTGCACTCGAACAGAGGCTTTTATTA